CAGGGAGAACTGAGGCGTCTCTGGCCAGGTCACTGCAGCCCGAATCACTGGGCTGCGGCCTGCCTGCGCCAGGTATTTTTTTGCTGCCTTAACAATCCTTGAGGTTTGGCGCATGATCAGCTCGGATTGTGACAGTTGGGATCTGTCGGAAGATTGTTAAAGCGGTATAAACATTTAGATGGATGAGTTCAGTGTTGCAACCTCTGAAACGTAAGATTGTTTCAAGTTGACTGCCTGCTAAAAAAAATGGGCGAGTTTGGGGGTCATTTTTTTGAGAGGTGATATGAGGAAGGATTTCAAATAGAATTACAAGAATTTTTATATTTCTGAATGCTGCCTGCTTTTCTCTTTAACTCATTAGCAGAAAACAGTTGGAAAATATTCCAAGGAAAATCAGCCAGTTTATTCAGTTATAATATTTATTTTACAATTAAGAATAAGACATTAAATATTAGTGCATTTTGCTAGTATGGCTGTGATAGAGGATTATTCCTTTATATGGCAAAAACTGCCAATATTAAAAACTAAATTTTAACACTGTTATTGTGTATTTGTTTTAAAACATTTCATAGGTTGTTTAAAAAATGAAAATCAATTTCCTTTTTTTTCAACATGAGCGATCCATGAGGTGAAGGAAGTATTCTATCTCTTGAGTGTAAAAGTATCAGTATTTTGGTTGTGATGTTGTACTGTAGTTTTGTAAGATGTTCCCGTTGGGGAAAACTGAGTGAAGGATATATGGGATCTTTCTGTATTCTTTTTTTTTTTTTTAATTATGCTTTAAGTGAAGGTTTACAGAGCGAATTAGTTTCCCATTAAGTAGTTTATACACAGATTGTTTCGTGACATTGGTTGCGATCCCTGCAATGTGTAGCACTCTCCCCATTACCACCTTGAGTTCCCCGCTTCCATTTGTCTGACTTTCCTGCCCCTTCCTGTCTTCTCATCTTTGCTTTTGGGCAGGTGTTGCCCTTTTGGTCTCGTATAGATGATTGTTCTAAGGAGCGCTTTCCTCACGAGTGTTGTTGTTTATTTTATAGGCCTGTGTATTATGTGACTGAAAGGTGATCTCCTGGAATGTCTTCTGTTCCAAGTTAGAAGGGTGTTTAAGGGCCATAGTCTCGGGGGTTCCTGTGGTCTCTCTGGGACCAATTAATCTGGTGTTTTTTATGAATTTGAATTTTGTTCTGCTTTTTTTTTTCTTCCCCACTCTAACTGGGACCTTCTGTTGTGATCCTGGTCAGAGCGGTTAGTAGTGGTAGCCGGGCACCATGTAGTTCTCCTGGGAAAATCAATTTCTTTGTTACAGCAAGAGGCAACATAAAGAGTTCAAAGTCTAAAAGAGTATTTCTTTTACTAATTTAGTGCTGATCGCCATACTAAAAGATGTTTACTGAGAGAAAATGAGCATGATAAATGTGAGTGCTGAAAAAGAACAGTGGAAACTTTTGATTGTGAGGAAGTTAGCATGAAGGAGCTGCATAAAGCCAGAAATGAGAACATTTTGTGCTTTAATAATTAACTGAGGAAGATTTTCAGACCTTTCCCCTAGATTGGGCCAGGAAGGTTGGTCTAGGAATTGAAGTCTGGGTGTGTTTTTATTTAGTTAAATACCTGTGTGACTTCTTTTGTTCTTCATGGTAACTAGGACAGTATATGCAGGTAAATAATATAAGCACTGGGATTAAAAATCATAAAACTGAGGTTTAGATCTAACTCTGATATTTAGTAGTTGTTCAGCCTTCAGCAATATCTTCTATCCCTGAGTTTCTTTTTCCTCAGCTATCAAATGAGGTGTTGGACTAGACCTCTAAGGCTCCTCCCTTCTCAGAACTCTTTCTTTAACAACCTTAAGGCCTGTCAGCAGAAGATAGGTTGCCTCAATTATGGTAGGTCTAGATAATAGGATACTATGCCGCTCTTAAATGAACGAGGTAAGCCTGTAAGTACCGATGGGGTGTGACTCATTTTCTCATTCATGGGGCCAATTTTGAGTCCTTCTATATGCCAGGTGCTATTCTTGGTATTAGGAACACAGAAAAGAACAAGACAGACACAGAGCTTACTTTGTAGAAGGAGATCAGACACCAACAAATGGAGAAATAGTGTCAGGTAGTGAGAAGTGCTATGAAGAAATGTGAACTACTTCCTGTAATCGCTGAGACTTGGTGAGGGAGAAACAAGATATAGACTGTGTGTAGGACACTATTGTTAGGATTTTTAAAAAGATTGGAGGTTGGTTGCCTTTGGGGTGAGGGATTGGAGGCGAGGGGAGGGTATGGCGTGATTGGGGGAGAGGACTACTACTCATATCCTTTTGTGCTGTTTGAATTTTGGAGAGGGGGAGGGGACACATGCATGCATTACTTAAACAAACAAACAACTGAGTCCTTAATGCTGTAGGGAAAAAAATGTATTTTTTAATAATTTATTTTTGTTGTTGTTGAAAGTACACACAGCAAAACATATACCAATTCAACAGTTTCTGCATGTACAATTTGGTAACGTTGATTACATTCTTCAAGTTGTGCAAGCATTCTCACCCTCTTTTTCCGAATTGTTCCTACCCAATTAACATAAACTTACTGCCCCCTAAGCTTCCTTCCTTCATATCTAACCTTTCAAGTTGCTGATGTCAGTTTGACCCCATATGGATAGTTCTTTAAAAGAGCATGATGTTCAAAGCAGATATTCTTTACTAAGCTAAACTGTTGTCTGGTTTGAAGAAGACTTCAGGGGATATTTTTGGTTTAAGGTTTAAAGATTATCTCAGAAAAATAGTTTCAGGGGTTCATCCAGCCTCAGTGGCCCCAGAAAGCCTGGATTCCATGAGAATTTGAAATTCTGTTCTACATTTTCCCCCTTTTGATCAGGATTCTTCTATAGACTCCTTGATCAAAA